ATCTTTACTTCCAGAAAAATTCCCTTCTGCTTGAGGCAGGATGGTTGGCACTGTCCAAGGGTTGTCCTTTCATTATGGCTCTTGATAATAACAGCCAAACCCCAGTTTACAAATCTCACTTGGACTGAGGACATTGAGGAGGTTTAACTCAAAATCACTTATGTTTGCAGAAAGTGGAAGAACACCAAATTTTTATGTTCACTCACATTTGCCTTGAACTCTGAGCAATACAAGTCAGGTTTAGCAAAGGAGAAGAATTTCTTTCTTTCAAAGGAATTGTGACCAAATGGAAAATTTTAAGGGGAGAGGAAAGAAGCCTCTGGAACAGATGTTTCATTGGGATGTTGCTGCCATTGCCTCTGTGTCTTCACTGTTGGTGCCTGCAGGGTTTTGTTTTGGCTCAGTGCCAGGTCCAGCAGGGTCCTGTGTTGCTTCTGAGAATGTCTCCACTTCTGCTTTCATTTTCTGTTCTAATTTAAGTTGTCTCACTGCTTTGGCATCTTGCTTAGGTACCTCAGTCCAAATAAACTGCTCTGAAATTCAGCCAAAAGACCTTCCTTCTGTATGTGGACAATCCTGGAGTGCTAATGGGTATATTTTTCCCCATCCAAGCTTATCATCATTTAAGAAGTAAATTTGTATTGTGATTACAAATCAAGTTGAAGACATCTCTGCTCATTGCAGGAGGGTTGGACTAGATGACCTTTAAAGGTCTCTTCCAAAACAAACCATTCCAAGATCTCTGTAATGCTTCCAAATCTCACTTTTCCTGTGATAGAACTTTCATTCTTTTGGATGAAAATAATTTGCATAAATCTGTGTTTTGGGTACCACCACTACTGCACACGAGGTTCTTTGAGAGGGACCCACATAGGTGATTAATTGACAATAATTACATTTCTCTCGCATCAGCAAACAGTGGGAAGAGAAAAACGTGGTGAGCATGGAAAAGGAAGATGATAAAAGAAGAGGGTTAAGTGTTATGTAGATTCTGAAGGGAACTGACATGTGAAAAGGTGCAATGATAACCAAGATGTTGAGCTTCCACCTGGGTATTCCTCCTGTGTGTAGCTGGCACAGATGTGTGGGTCTGGTGTCAGTTTTGATGTCACTAGGTGTTATTTTGGGTACCACGAGGCTGTCTGCTGCTACAGGAGAAACATCTAGAGAGCTCTTGTGCCCGCAAATTCAGATTAAGCAGTGAAGTGTGTTTAGATTGGCAGCTTCTTTATCAGATTTTATAAGTTTATCGATACCAGGAATTACTGCCCTGCACAGTGTGTGTTGGGAGGTGCTGGTGGATGGATAAATCCAGGCTGTCCTGAGAACCAAACCCTGAGGATTGGGAATGGGGAGAAAGTTTCCCTGTTTCTGAAGTCCCTTGCCAGGTTAGGGGATGTTATAATAAACTCAGTGAACTTTGCTTCCAGAATTGCCCCTTTAGCAGCCTCAATGCTGACACTGATCCCTGTTTTTTCCAAATCATTCGGTATTTGGCAAACTCTGCACATGATTTCAAGCTTTAGCTGTCACAGATTATTTATGCTGGGTTTGGATGCTTCCAGTGGACAGTTTGTTTTGGATTTTTGCCACGTGCTGCTAATGCTGTCCCTGAAAATGAACGTATTGAGGCTGCTCTTTCTGAATGGGTATTAAACTGTGATCATGTAGCAAAGGATCACATAGAATGTCAAAATCAGCCATATTTACCTGTTTAGTGTCTGTACAAAGTCTAATTGGTAATCAAAATTTTAGTCTTTTTCTGTCAACCTGCTAATAAGCAGATGATTATTGTCAATTTTATCAGGACCCTCTGAGCCTTCTCCTTCGTAATAGTAATTGATTTTATATGTAGGAGAACCCAGGTAATAGAATTAATTTGTAACCATGTTTGGAGATTGTGCTTTTTTTATGTTGGAAATAAAATTATGTAAGCGTAGTAAAATTGAGCAAAGTCAGGATTCAGGATTAATTTGAGAAGAATCTTCATTCAAACATAGAAAATGGAAAAGGAAAATAGAAAATATTAGGATGAAAGTATATGGTTGGGGGGCTGGAGCCCCTCTGCTCTGGAGATAGGCTGGGAAAACTGGGGATGTTCACCTGGAGAAGAGAAGGTTCCAGGAAAACCTCAGAGCCTCTGCCAGGGCCTGAAGGGGGTCCAGGAGAGGTGAAGAGGGATTGAGGATAACAAAAGGAGGGACAGGACAAGGGGGAATGGCTTCCCACTGCCGGAGGGTAGGGTTTGATGGGATATTGGGAAGGAATTCTTCCCTGTGAGGGTGGTGAGGCCCTGCCCAGAGCAGCTGTGGCTGGATCCTTGGAAGTGCTCCAGACCAGGTTGGATAGGGCTTGGAGCACCCAGGTCTAGTGGAAGGTTTCCCAGCCCATGTCAGAGGTGGAATGAGATGATGAGCTTTTCCAGCTCACACCATTCCATGATTCTGTGTTGACTTAAAATGGCATAAATGTTTCCTTTCATAGGTGTGCAGAGTCCATGAATTTTTGGCCAGAGTGTTCCCAGGAGTTTGCAGCAGACGAAAATGTATAAATGACTGAAGTGTAGCATCATTTTTATATGTTCACCTATAAATGTCAGCATGTAGTAACTCAAAATGCCTTTAATTAAAATAGTGCATAGAGCAAGTATTGATGGGTGACACAATACAAACTTTGTGTCATTCTTTTCACGATCCCATTTAATTTTTCATGTCTAAATGCAAAAATATTAATTTTTCAATAAAATAGCTGATACAACAGCCTGCAGTAGTGGTTGTCGTTAGGAGAGCCTTTCTCCCTACATATGCTAATTACCTTAGGATGGATATTTCCTTGCATTATTTTCTCCAAAATGCTTTGAAAAAGCTGACTGCATGCACAAGTTGTGTTGAACTCTGAGCCAGGGTCAGGCTCATGTACAGCAGGGCATAGGAGACCACAACCAATTAACTTCATTAACATTGCTTTGACCTCCCTCAACACTCCAAGCCATGTTTGAGGTTGTTACCAGTAAACCCTGTGGCACCCCTGGGATTTACAAGGCTCGAATTAACACCCCTTTACTTTCTGATCTCGGAAGCTTCTGGTCTTTGAGTGGTTTTGTGGGGGGGACTTGGCTCTTCTATGTCCCCAGAGCTGCTGAGGCTTTTAGCATCTCCATGGGGTTCATGCTTGGCTTGCAGCCCTGCTGGATTCAAATTGTTTGGATGTAGAAGACACAGGTGTTTGTTGTTACCAATTCCATGCAGAATTAACATCTCTAGAGATGTTTGGGTGGGTGGGGTGGAGTGGCGTGGTGCTTTATAGCGTATTTATTGAGTGTGCAGGAGGGAGGAGGCAAGGTCAGTTTGCTCAAGGTAAGCAACTTAAAGTCCTGTTTGCACTTCTCACGTGAGTCAGCAGTCTTGGATACGCTCTGATAACATCAGTAAAAATAGCCAGTCCTCTTGGCCTCAGCTTTGAAGTAAAATCTGGGTGAGGAATTACCAAGCTTAACTATAGTGGGGGGGTTTGTTCACCCCTTCTTGATGAAAAGCTGATGCTGGAGTTGCAGAGCTACACAAAGCAAGCCCAACCCAGCACTTCCCTGACATCATCCCTGTTGCATCTGTGCCTGTAGTAAAGCCATAGGAGAGCAGCTGGAACACTTCCCGGCGCATAATGTATGTCCTGCTACCAAGCAATGCGCCGTGAATCTCTGCCAGATGTATTTCACTGGGACATATTCGTTTCTGGGCTTTGAAGTGCGCGTGGCTGGGGATAATATACTTAATGAAATATTGGAGCGAGAAACAATACAGCATAAAATAGTGCTGTTCATTTGGGGGCCTCAGTAATGAAACAATTCTCCAAATGCCAGCCTTGGAGTGGATGTAGGAGATGAGGGTGGCTGTACTTGGACTGAAGGTCCTGGATCTGGAAACCTGGGGGAGACTGCAGGAACAGGGGGACCAGTGAAATGCTTTCCCTGAATACTCTTGTCAGCATCAAATATCTGAAATTCCCTAAACCTGTTGTAGGTTTTGACTTCATGTTTTTTTCACCCTTCTTGAGCATTTTGTTGATGCCAGGAGGGAGCTGTCATAGTTGTGAGGTCTTGCTCCAGTGGGGCAGTGCTCAACAAAAAACTCAACATTGCAAATAACATTAACACGTGCGTCATGTAAACTTTAATCTGTATGAAGGGTCACTGCCACCTGATTGCCCAGATCGTGGTTCTGAGGGTGCTGCTTTTCTCCCTAGTTCATTTCATCTTTCTTTTGGAGTAACTCTTAACATCTTCCAGGGCAGTTTGGAGTTTGCTAGAACTGGTGAATGGCTGGGGCCCTTTAACTCTGAATTTGCTTTTATCTGGGGCTGCTGGTGGTGTTTTATCTTCCTGTAGTGATGAGGTTTGAGAAATCAGCTGCGCATTTGATGTTTCGTTGCCAGAGATATGGGTTTGTTTGGTTTTAAGCAGTACAAGAGAAATAAAATATGCAATGTACAAAGTAGTTGGTTGCAATTAAATCGTATCCAATGTGAGATATGCACATCTCTGAAAAAGTGTGACTTGGTAGGGGAAAAAGTGCTGCTGATTAAATCATCATGGGTTCAAAATCTCCTGGACAGGAAGGAAAGGAGTTTATCTCCTGTTCACTGGCACAGGACTGTGGAAAAATGCCTCTGTAGCAAGGGCCTCTGTAGTTGTGCAGGGGAAGGTGATGGTAATTTTGTTTTAGCAGCTGAAATTTGTGGATGCTGAGTACCATGCATCCATGAGATTGATTCAGGAGGTTGTCTGGTGTGTTGCTCACAAAATTTTCACTGAAAATCAGAGGGTGTTTCTGATACCTCAGATTGGGGGCAAAATTAGCAAAATCTTGAGGTGCTGTGGGAGGTGGAATAGGAGGAGGCAGTGTTGTTTGTGTAGTGTTCGGGTGTTGAATACCTTTATCCGCTACAGCTTTTGGGTTTTTTTAGGATAGCACCTAACCTGGGTTTATTTTGGTTTTTTTCAGCCTTGCTAACATGATGACCTGACAAGATACAGCACAGTCCTGACTATGCAGCACAGGGACTGATGGGAAAGGATCCAATATGAGTGTAAATGATGTTGGAGGCAGACGACGCTTTGAGGATAGCGAGTACACGCTGCACATCTACCCCGGGAGCATCGCAGAGGGGACAATCTACTGCCCCATCACCGCCAGGAAAACGTCCACGGCCGCCGAGGTCATCGATTCGCTCATCAACAAACTCCAGCTGGAGAAAACAAAATGCTACGTGTTGGCAGAAGTGAAGGAGTTCGGAGGGGAGGAATGGATCCTCAACCCCACGGACTGCCCGGTGCAGCGCATGATGCTGTGGCCGCGCATGGCGCTGGAGAACCGCATCAGCGGCGAGGATTATCGCTTCCTGCTGCGGGAGAAGAACCTGGATGGCTCTATCCACTACGGGAGCCTCCAGTCCTGGCTGCGGGTGACGGAGGAGCGGCGCAGGATGGTGGAGCGGGGCTTCCTCCCCCAGCCCCAGCAGAAGGACTACGATGACTTGTGCGGTTTGCCGGACCTGAACGAGAAAACGCTCCTGGAAAATCTCAGAAACCGCTTCAAGCAGGAAAAAATCTACACCTACGTTGGCAGCATCCTCATTGTTATTAATCCCTTCAAATTCCTACCTATTTATAACCCTAAGTATGTGAAGATGTACGATAACCATCAGCTGGGGAAGCTGGAGCCCCACATTTACGCTGTGGCAGATGTGGCTTACCATGCTATGCTCCAGAGGAAGAAGAACCAGTGCATCGTGATTTCAGGAGAGAGCGGCTCGGGAAAGACACAGAGCACCAACTTTCTGATTCATCACCTCACTGCCCTCAGCCAGAAGGGATTTGCCAGTGGAGTAGAACAGATTATTCTTGGAGCTGGCCCAGTGCTTGAGGTAAGATGGAAACGATAGTAGTGTGGAAATGTTTTAATGGTGAAAAAAACCAAACCTGAGTAGTTGGGATTTTATTGTGACACTTAACTCTGTGGTTATCGGCTAAATGCTGATAATCAAGTGACAACAGTGTAGCAATGAGAGAAGCTTGTGTTTCCACCTATAGAATATTACCTGCTTCCAAAAAAAAACCAGGATGAAAACAAAAGTACAGCAGATGGCTTGCTGCCAAATTTGTTATGCTTTGTTTTCACTCAAGTGTTTCTCGATGCAGGTTTATCTTGGTGGTTTCTCAGTGGGAAAATGGAAATGAGAATTATCAGTAACAATTTTCTAGTATATTGAAAAGGGAATTTGTTGCACACAATGTATTGATAACTCCATTGTATTTAAGGAGTTTCTGTGCAGTCAGCTTCTTTGAGCTGGGGAATAAATCAAAGGTAACTTTCTTGGTCAAAACTGTGTTTTCTAACTACGAGTGCTTGATTTGGCCACTGATTGGTTACTTTATGAGGACTCTTCCTGTGTATCAGAGGTTAGATAAACTTGGACATCAACTTTTCAGGTATGAAACTCTGAAGTGGGATACCAGCATTCATTCATTAATTTGTCATGAGTTTGCCCCATAGTGGTTGACATGGTTTTCTTTGGAATTGCCAGCTTTGCTAGTTAGAGTTTTATTGCTTAAAGACCATCTGCTCATGGGTGATGTGTCAGTTTCAGCAATGCCACTGTCTTTGGAAACCATGATACCTGGAGGTGGTTTGGTGCATGCATCCTCTCACTCTCTGGAGTTGATGAGAAAACATCAGACCAGGCTCCTGTAATTAATGGTGGTTACTGTGGTGACCCACATTGGTGACCACATTAATTTCAGAAAACTGGTATGAAGACTATTGCATTCCACCTCCAGTCCTGTTAGTCCACCTGCAATCCTGTTATTTGAAACACTTCCATGCTCTTTAGTTTTTGATATCATGTTGGACCAAGGTAATTTTATAGTTTTCTTTAGCAGTGTCAGAGAGATCTCTGTCTAGGTTAGATTTCTGGAGGTGGGGAAGAGAGATCTCCATGAAAAGAAAGGTAGAAGGAAGTTTGGGGAATTGGGTTTTTTTCTTAGATTCTACTTTTCTCAGGAGTAGGTTGTTTATTTGCTTGGCTCTTGGATGGAGAGAGGCATCACAAATGGCTTACTGGGAATCCTGCTCTAGTGGTGCCCACTCACTTCTTCTGAGGACCATTCATGGAATGGTTTGGGTTGGAAGGGATCATCCCATCCCCCTGCCATGGACAGCAACACCTTCCTCTATTCCAGGTTGCTCCAACCTGCCCTGGAACACTTCCAGGAATGGGGCTTGGACCAGGGCCCTGTGCCAGGGCCTCTCCACCATCACAGGGAAGAATTCCTTCCTAATTCTTAATATTCTTTTCCTTTAAAAAGCAGCTTTGTAGTTCCTCTCCTTGGTTCCCTTTCCTCTAGAGGAGGTTGCTCAAAGCCCCAGTGGCTGGCAAGTTGTGTGTGTTGGGATGAGGTGGAGAGCAGGGATGCACTCCAGCCTTTTGTTTTCCTTTCGCAAGATCTGCAGCTGTTTTTGAGGGAAAAAAATCCTGAATCATATCTGTTATATTTTTTTTTGCTGTTGGAACAGAAGTTTGCATTCCTTCACTCCGGCAGCTGGACAACTGCTGTTGTGCTGTGTCTGCTTCCAGTCCTCTTGGAAAAAGTGGGGGTAATCCAGAATTTCTTCTGCTCTGCCAGCACTGGTCCCAAATAGTCACAAATCAGGCAGCCTGAAAGATAATGTGCCTATATTTCTGCTTGTCCTTCTCCTTCTAGAGTTTCCCAAGAAAGGGATCTTCAGAGCAGAGCTTTGGGTTGCATTACTCTGCAAAGCGTTTGCAGATTTGACCTTTTGAGTTGTGGTTGAAATAAATTGAATAAACTCTGGAAGTTTAGATGCCAAACTTTTGGGGATTTTTTTTTTTGCTTCTTTTCCTTTGTTCTTCTTATCTCCTCCAGACACCTTCTGCATTCCCTTTGCTTTCCCTTTGCATATTTGACATCAGATTGTGTTCAGCTCAGGTTTGTCCTTCAGAGGCAGTGACACAGCTCTTTGTGCTGCGACTTCTGGTTTAGGAGATGGAGCAACCAACAGCTCACTGATCTCTTTCTCTGCCTGCAAAGTGTCTCTGGCAGGACAAGTGCATGGAACCTCCTGTCCCTGGGAATGCCTTTGCTGTCATGCTCACACGGCAGGAGTGGAAGTAGAGCAAAATTAAGATTTTTCTTTTTTTTTTCTGCAGCTTCTCTGTTTTCCTAATTTACCTTTCTTGAACAGCTTCGGGCTATTGTTTGGATTTTTTTTTTGTTGTTGTTGTTGCATGAGATTCCTGAGTCTTGTCCAAATTGGACTTTTGGGGATGGCTGTCAAGACAAGCTGTTACTGCCCTCTAAACACGGTGACATCATTCACTGGTTGCACGTAGCTCGAGGTGTGTACTGAGACCAGGCGTGTCCTTTTAAAGTGTATTTGATGTAAATCCTATGGACTTTCTTTTTCCTCTGCTGGGATTTAATAGGAGAATTTTGTTGTAGTGGTGCTCCTTGGAATGGTTGCAATATGCTTCTTTTGTTGATAAATGATATTTTAAAACTGTATATTTATGTATTATCTTCCATAAATTATATTCCTTAAATACCATACTATTTTTTCCAATAACAAGATCCCAACTTTTTTAAAAACAGGTGATTTTCTTTATATTTTTCCTCAGTTTCCCCCCATTTTCTTATAAAACACATTGTGCCCTATAAGAGCTTGCTTATTCAGCAGAGCTGAGCTTACAAAAATTTTGCTCTCTGCCTCTTTAGTTTCAAGATTGAGCTTCCCAAAATCCATAATTTTGTGTAGTTAATTGAGGAAGAGTTCCACCTGCTGCAGTTCCATTCTGTTTCTGATTGACTCCATGCAATACTTGAGGTGAAGATGACTTCTGCTCATCTTGATCCTCCATCAGGAGCCCAGAGTGCCACACCTCAACAAGACATTGAGGGGCTGCAGCACCAGGAGCAGCTGAGGGAGCTGGGGGGGCTCAGCCTGGAGAAAAGGAGGCTCAGGAGGGACCTTCTGGCTCTGCACAGCCCCCTGACAGGAGGGGACAGCTGGGGGAGGCTCTGTTCCCAGGGAACAAGGGAGAGGGCAAGAGGAAATGGCCTCAAGATGTGCCAGGGGAGATTTAGGTTGGAAAAAATTCTTCACACTGGAAGAGATGTGGCTGCCCCATCCCTGGAAGCATTCGAGGAGAGGCTGAACAACCAGGTCTAGTGGAAGGTGTTCCTGCCCAGGGCAGGGAGCTGGAAAAGATGACCTTTGAAGTTCCTGTCCGATCCAAATCATGCCATGATTCAATTTGCGCTCTGCCTGGAGAACTGTGCTTTATCCCTGCAGGGATATTTTATCCCAGATCTAGGGAACTTGTTGATGTGAACTTGGAACAGTGTTTTAAAACCCTGTTTTCTCTTTAATTATATTAGCTAGAAACATCCAGATGAACTTTATGTTGGAATCCCAGCTTGTTTTTGTGGACTGTAACCCTTAGAGGTGGGATGTGGGTGGGATCATCACCTTGTACTGGTACATGGTACAGCCTGTGAGCATCCTCCTCCATCCTCCTAAACCATGCTTCAGCTTTCTGGGGAGCTCTGAATGCAAGTTAATGTATTACATCTTGCTAATTTATTTTTTAATTGTGCATAAAACTGCAAAAGTAGGAAAATCCTCCCTGGCTCAGATATGTCCAAAGGTCCTCAGACAGGTATTGGATGAACCTTGGTCTAAAGGAGTCTGCACCAGATTATTTTACCATCGGTCCCTTTCTCAGCATCTCATTTGTCACAGGAGTACAGCCATGGCAGCTACACACAGCAGATGTGTTGTCTGAGCAGCTGTTTATTTGCCTTTTCAGACATCCCAGTGGGGATCTCTCAGTTGGTTAAAAAAAAAAAAAAAAGCCAAGAGCTGTGTTCCTGGGAGAGGCCTCGGAGCACAGGCGGTGGCCAAGGGGAGCTGCTGCTGCCCTTCACAACTCATATGCATCTGCAGCATTTCTGCCAGAAAAAAAAAGGATTTGATTGCTTGAATTGCTTTGGAAAGAACTGCAGAGAACTTTCTGTAGACATGGCTCTGCTATTTGCATTCCCAATGGTGATGGTTTGCACAGGAACCTTAGGAACAGCAGCTCTAGTTGCTTTTTGGTCTCTGGAGCAATGTTGTGCAATGTGTGTGTTTTGATTTGTGAGGGAAGTCAGAGTTGCCACCTGAAGGCCTGGGAAGCTGAAAACCTTTATTTTTTCTTATTTCTTTAATCCTGATTATGGGGTTCTTAGAGGGAAATGCAGGCAGCATCTAGAAGATGTTAAATGTTATTTTCTAGGACTTTGTGGTAATGGACAGGGTTCCCCCAGCTGAATTCAGCCCGGGCAGCTGGAGGTGCAGCCCTGTGAGGTGTGAGCAGAACAACTCCACACTGCTGGAATTGCAGTGGATGCTGCTGAATGTTTCCAGAGCCAAACAAAGAGCCATTGAGTCGAGTTAGAAAATTCAATTAACTGGAATGATCAGGCGTGTCCTGGACTTCCAGTAGGTTCGGGTAGCATTGGACAACACGGAGGGGCCAAAGCTCCCTGTGCACAGAGCCTCTGCTGCTTCTCCTCTGTGTGCCAGACCTGAGTTACCCTAGGTAGGACCCAGCTCCACTGGCAGATCCCACACTCTTAACTCCTGTGCTGTGGAACCAGGATAAGGGGGTATTTGATTCATATAGGAATTAGGGCACCATTTTTTGCCTGTGAGAAATGTCATTTGCAAATTGACCATATTAATATTTTCAGCTGGAACAATGCTAATGGGATGTCAACTTTGACTATATTCCCATTTTTCCCCTATTCCTGCTTGAAACAGTATTAATGGGAAATAAAATTTAAGTATATTTACATTTTTACC